CCGCCCCCGCCTCCCCCTCTCCCTCTCCCTCTCCCTCTCCCTCCTCTTCGCCGCCGCCGCCGCCTCCTCCTCCGCCCTCTCCCTCGCCTCCCTCGCCCGCGCCTCCCCTCACTCTGCTCGATTAGGGTTTAGGGGTTTCCTCCTCGGCTCCCTCTTCTCTCTGCACTACCTCTTCAACCGCCGATGCCTTCTCCATTTCCCCATCATCCAGGTCCCATTTCTCTCTTCTCAAATGCATTCATCGTTTCCAATCCTTTTTCTTCTTCTCATTCTGCCTGCTTCTGTCTCTGTCAACAGCGTCCTCCCTTTTTCAGCTTCAAGATGGGGCTTCCTTCCGCTGCCAGACGCGCTCTCAAGCTTTCCGTCGTTGCTTTCGTTTCTTCCGGGATTTTCTTGGAGCTTCTGCCGCATCCCTTTAAGTACAGCGTTGCCACCACGAGATTCTTCGCCGACCAGATTACCTCCTTTGCTGCTTCTTTTGCTATCTTCCTCTCTTGGGAACTGACTCATCATTTGCATTGGGTTCCTTTTTCTATTCTGCCACTTCTAATAAGTTCCAACCTGTTTACTTTGTTTTTCGTGTTTTGCTTTCTTATAACTACTGTTACATGTCATGCTTCATTTCTTGTATGCTAATCCCAAAATGAAATGCTCGTCATCTTCTCTAATGATCCTACTTGTTTGTTGCCTGTTTTAGGTTCTGTTCATATTTTTGTCACGAATTAGTCGTTGTTCAGTGATCTTTGGGATTTCATGTACCTATTTGTTGGAGATTCTATGCTAACTAGTGATATGGTTTAAATAATATATACATATATAAGTGGGGAACAATTCTTGCATCATGAGCTAACTTCTGGGGTTGAGTAAGGCTTATACACAATTCTTAAAACATTACAATTTGGTTCTATGTACACAGAGTACTTTAGTATAATGCTCAGGAATCAGGATATGTACCAGAACTGATAATCTAAGTCCACATGTTAGTCGTGTTTTCTTCATTATAATATTGTGTAAGACTTGCAGAAAAATGTAAAATTCATCTTGTCTGCATGTACATGCTACATTATATAAGAAGCACCTGTGCAAACAACTGATTCACAATTTTATCTTAGCTATCCGTTATGAACCCTGTATATTTGTCACCTTTGTACTAGTTTTAGAAATATATATATATACAACAATATGTATATTCCCCAGCCTTTAGAGGGGCAGCATTGTTATCGGCTGCTGAAGTCTATGTTGGTTGAATATGGTACATAGGTTTTGCATACTAAGAGGTCCATATTTGCACCCCCAAAAGGATCAGCAGCTGCAGAAACAAATCCAAGTGAGCATCTCCTTTCCGCTTTGGAGGAGAGCAATCCTACATCTCTTCTTCGGTATCTTGCATATCTTGATCTCAGTATGGTTTGTGAGAACAATGTTGACAATTGGCGGCGTGCGGGGTTTTTTGAAGAAACTGGTGAGACTTACAAAAGAGTAGTTGCTGTGTGCTTGAGGCCATTGGAGCATCTTGCCACAAAATTAAGTGAAGGCTCAGGAAACACTGTTGACAAAGCCACACAATTGTCAAATCAGCTGTTGTCCCCAACAGAGGCAAGGCCAGATGTGAAGTACGTTGAAGAACTGTACAACTTCCAGGTACATGCATAATTTCATTCTTTGTATATTGTTTATCTTAGCAAACATACATTTTTTTTTTTTTGTTTTGTAAAATTGGAATAAATTTTAACTACACTAAACTCTACAAAAAAATCCTGATTGTTATACAATGGACCAGGGAAATGGATAATTTAATGAAGTTCTTGTAAGTTGTAACATTGATCAAGAATCATCCATAAGCCTCATCCTGATTTTGTTTTAACCACTAACTCCTGCCTTCAAAATGGGGTGTGTGCACATTGAATGTCGAGACTAGTGAGGAAATGTCTTATGTTCCCTGTGAGGAAAGAACATATTTAAGTAATGGGATTCTAAGTAATAATTACAATGTGTTGATGTGATGTACTAACCTTAATTTTAGGCCTATTAGAATTGTAGGATAACTACTAACTAACTAGTCCAAGTCCATTCCACTAGCACATTAAACAGAACGATTATGATAATTATAATATCCTAATGTTATATTGAATTTGATCTGTAGTGAATGTAAAAATTGCTCCCTCAACCAATCTTTCTGTGGTTGATATTTAAGCCTTCCCTATTAACTTGTAAGGAAAAAAAATGAGAGGATTAATTTGACCATTTTACTCCTGTTAAAACTCCCATTTTTTTGTTCTAGTGAGGATAATGTTGCTCTTTAGATAATGCAATAAATATAGTTGGATGCACTTACAGAGGGAAAAGCCAACCCATGAATCCTTTGGGCTGCATAAATATCTACGTGGGTCATTGACATGAATTGCCAGCATTATGAAATTGTAGATACATATTAAATGCATTTGTTTGGTTAAATGCAGCTATATGCATGGTGTTCTAGGACTGTTGCCTCACTAACTGCCTGCTCACGCAAAGAAGACAAGTTTGGGGTTGCCCAGCTTTCTGGGAGTAATGCTGCCGTGGTTTCGACACTGTTATCCTGCCTTCTTGCTGTTGAAAATTTCATGGGCAAGAAAACAAACCTGCAATCCCCAAATCAGTTGTTAGGACCCGCTGGTATCAAATGGGCAACCGTTAATAGTGGAAGAGTTGATGTTGCAGCTGGCAAAAGAAGAAGTGGCCCAGTAAATTCAAAGGCTTATGCTATTGCTGACGTTCTCAAGACTTCAATCTACCAAATAGTCTTTGCATTCCATGATGAGATGTTGGCTGGTGCTAAAGCAAGTCTTCTGGAGAAGGACTGGGTCACAAGTGAGAAACCACTTTTTGGTACTCGTGAAATGCTTATACAAAAACTACGTCTTTTCCTTGATTTTCGAGCTACCTAACGGATGCATTGTACCGAGGCTTGAATGCTACTTGTCTGAATTAAGCATTCTTGTAAGACATTTTACACACAGGATGTTGTCAAGTGAAGATATAGATGGAATGGAAGGAAAAAGTTCGGTTTTGATGTCACAAATTTGAGATGGATATTAATGAGATTTTGTTGAATATATCTGCATTGGCAGGTAAGCGATCATTTGGATGTGCTTTTTGTTGACAATTTTCTTAGGGTACTTCAATTATATCGAGTTTGGACTTTGGATGAGCAATTTCAGTGATGCACAAATTCGTTTTCTATGTTAGATTTTTGTGCTCATAAAAAGTTGTTCATATTTTGTACATTTGCATGCAGCTACATACAGATATCGGTTTATTGCCATTGCATAAGGGGTAATAGTTCAAAAATGATTAAATTATACTTTTGGTGATTTATTTTAGTTTTTTATCTTTTAAAAGATTTTTTTGGTTCTGTATTTTTTAAATTTGGGTCAATGTGGTCCTTCTATAACAATGATTTTTTATTTTGAGCTACTATTTTGAATAGTTTTTTGACTAATGTAAATTTTGATACATGTTCCATTAGATTTATTTACATGAAGATTATTTAACTTAAACTCATGTTTGTGCCAAAAGAGATTATAAATATAATGAAAATCATATAAAAATGAGTTTAACTAACTAGTAAATTAACAACAAAAAAAACTCCTATTAGATTCTTTTTTGGCCGCTTTTGAGACTTATTTTCATGTGATTCTAGTCATGTTTGTAACTCTTTTATTTAAACTACTAGGCTAAATTGTTTTGATGTTGGAGAATTTAGTGAGACAAGTTTTATATCTTAAAGTAATAAAAAAAAATGATTCAAAATTGTTTTTTTTTAATCTGAAACAATCATTGTTATAAAGGGATTAAATTTATCACGATTTAAAAGATAAAGAATTAAATTTTTTTTTTTTAAAGATATGAATCTTCAAGATAATAAGATTAAAAGTATAATTTAATTTTTTAAAAATAATTTTGTTGGAAATAACACGGAAATGTATTGATAGTGAAAACAACCTTAAGGGCGGGCTCATATAAACAAGTTTAGGCCGAACTGTGTTGCAGACTTGCAGTTCAAATAGTCAAACATTTCCCTCCTAGCATGCATGACATATTGGATCTGACATCTTGTTGCTTTCTTTAAGATTATTTTATGTTGAATTAAAAAAGTTTAGCTTATCTGAAAAGTGAAAACCATTGAATTTTAAGATATTTTACTTGATCAAATTTATATTTTGTCGACACATGTTTTTGTTGAAATTGAACTTTAATTTTTTTAATGTTACATTGGTCATCTACTGTTGTTTCACCCATGGTAATGACTAAATATTATCCTAATCTTAATGCTGCTTTTTTAATCATTATAACGTTATTTTTTAAATGGAGTAACTTCACTAATTGTCTTTTTATTCTTCTTCTCAGTGTGATGTAACAAATTATTCTTTGTTGTTCTGTTTCTTAGGCCCATCCCAAAAGAGTAAGTTAAATTTTAGGAAGAATTTTACGATATTAAATCCATCATGTAGCGGAATGTATCTTTAAGGACAATATTTTTATTATATTATATATGAAGAGAGATCCTTTTATTCCAAGAGTAAGTCTACTTATACTTATTCTGTTCAATAATTCATGTTTTACATCAAATTTCAATGATCTAACCGTTCAATTTAAAGGTTTTAATGTATAGATCAAATCTGCAAATTTTTAGAAAATTTAAAAATCATTTGATACTTCATGTCATTAATTCAAATTAATGGATAATCATAAAATCATTTTATACATTGATTCGAATTAATGAAACAAAGTATCAAATGATTTTTAAATTTTTTAAAAATTTGTAGATTTAATCTATACATTAAGAACTTTAAATTGAACGGTTAGATTATTAAAATTTGATGTAAAATATGAGTTATTGAACGGAATAAGTCCATGTAGACTTATTCCTAGAGTAAAAAGATCCCTCCTCATTATATATATATATATATATATAAAGATAGAAGGTATCCTTAATAATAAGGGTGATAAAATGGGTCATGTTCTGCAGATAGGCTTGCTGACCCACCAAATTTTTTTGGATCGGACCAGGTATTTTGGTCCACTAGTCTGCCTAGTTCGTCAGCCTGTTGGATCAAATGACAGGTTGCGATGGATGACCCGTTAGTCTTTTTTTAAAATTATTTATTTATTAATTATTTTTAATATAAATTTAATTAAGTTATTTTAGATTTATTTTGTGTATAATTTTTAATTTATTGTATAACAAATTTGTTGTGCATTTCATTTATTTTATTATATGTAATTTGAGATTTTTTTTATTATTTAGGTACACTAATTTATGTAAGTCATTTAGATATCGAAAAAAAATATGTTAAAAGAATAACTCAAAATAAATATATATTTTTTTTTCCTATTTTTTGACGGGCCAACAAACTAATAGGGTAGACCTAAATTTTTGGCCCATTTTTTTGGTAGGTTTGTTCGACTCGACCTAATTTTGCTGGGTTGACGACAAGCTAAGTCTAAATAGATTGAACTAATTCATTTTGTCGTTCTTACTTAATAGAACTCAAAATATATTTTACAATTATTCTCTCAACAATCTTAAGAATTTATTGAAGACCACAATGTTGTTGTCAACATGGTCTTGCAAGTAACTATGGTGGCAACGATTCAAACACAAATGCAATGTGTGTTGACCTCCGGCCAATTATTATCGTTGTCTATGCACGGCCATATTTAGACATCTCCAAAGTTTGGGTCTTTTTTGGTTACACTAACATTTTTTGTTTTTCTAAGGCAATGTGTCAAAACTGTGGTGTAAAACAAAACAAAACAAAAAAAAACCTTGGAGCATTGCCTATCCTTCCTATAACAATTTTATTAAACATAGGCAAACTAAGAAAAGGCCATAGTCGTTGTTATGATGATACACAACTGTTTTCAAATTGCACTAGTATAACGGTTTTTTTAACTATTGTTGTTCATTACAGCATAGTAAATTGTTGCACATGATTATTAAAGAGTATGCAGATAAAACAGTTGTTAATTGTTATTAACTTTAGAACACAATTTTTTTTTAAAACTTTGGCATAGACGTTTTTATACGTTAAGGCAACACTTTTGTTGGTAAGACAACACTTTTACATATTAGTATAGATTGACTGATGACTGATGAACCGACAAACCAGCCAAGTATCTGGTTTGGTTGACGCATGAAATTACAAATGCTTGCAACTTGATAATTGACTCAATTGTTTTGTGAAAATAATAATAAATTTGGTTGCGCCCGAGTTGCACAAACTGAATTGAGAGGATTTAGAGAGTGACTATCGTGCTTGGTGCTTCAAATCTCAAACTATTTGATCTATATTTGATCAAAGAAGTGTGCTAAGAAGCCGAGTAATGAGTTTCAGAAAGTTATTAGATTGACCAGCTTTAGCAAAAAGCCAAAAGACACGTTATTTTTGGTACATTATTTTATATCAATAGTTTTGAAAGGAATATAGTAAAATGCATTTTGACACCTTTAAAAATGAATTTTCAATTTATATTAATTATACGTACAGTTTGATGAACTCGACCAATAATTCCCTTGTTAGGCTAGTAAATCAATAATCTACTGTCTTGATTGAATGGATGACTAATTGAAGTTTAATATGATTATTTCACATCACCACCTAGCTATCCTTATCATATGACAACCATGATCCATTTGGCAAGTAAGCCTCATTTAGTCCAAGTGTTATTCAAGTTCCCTAATCATGTAATAAACTTTTGCAATCCAATCCTTACTCTTATATATAACCTAACAGCAAGTTGTTAAACCTTATCTTTCTATATTAAATAATTGTACATTAGTCTACAAGCAAACCCACAAAAAGTCCAGAAGACAGCGAGCTATCCAACAGCGTGCGATGGATTGACTTGGACTGGAATCAACGGCCAAGATGCAAAATGACTACTTTTAAGGTAATGTCACTTTTGGCCTTTTTCCCTGCCTACTCATGAAAACGAAACTAATGAAACACAAACCACCACATAAAACGAAATCATTCAACATAAACCAACCATGAGAGATGGCTGAAACCGCAATGATAAGAACTCAAAAACCCTAGTCCAACGGGAACCGTCCACCTGTCCGATTTGACCTCAATACGCTCATTGACACGGTTCCTTCAACTGTCGGCAATCTTAGCTGTCACTACACACAAGCTTACTGACCCGGACACGTGGCACGCCTCTGATTGGTCCAAGGTTCTCGCGTTCTAACCCGCATGAGCACCATAATTTTATTTCCACTCCTCATCCCTTCCTTTCGTACCGTATAAAACCCCCACACCCGCAAACATTACACCCTATTTGTGTCGGCAGAGACTAAACCGTTTTTTTTTCCTCACTCCTTCTCCTCATGAGTTAGATATTTTCTTTTCCCTCATTTTCTCCGTTTTTTTTTGCCGGGAAAACTCAGTTCAAAATGATGAAGAAGAAACCGAGCGCGACGGAGAATTCTTCGTCCTCGTCGTCGACGGCGAGAGAAGAAGAGACGGAGTGGGAGATGAGGCCCGGAGGAATGTTGGTGCAGAAGAGGACCGCCAAAACGGAGGCTGTGACACGCAATTTGCGCCTCCGAATCGCGTACGGCGCTCTCCGTTACGAGATCCACGTCGGTTCAATGGCCACCTTCGGTAACACAAATTCTGGATCTAAACTGTTATACCGTTCGTTGTTAATTAATTTTCCTACGCTCTGTTTCGCTACTCAGAAAATCACTATTATTATGTTGAGTAATGTTGGTAAAACTGAGTTAGGTAGGTGTTTTCAGTGCAGCACTATAAATCATCATTGCTGTTGCTACGTCCCTACGTAGCATGGCATGAACCGTCGGAGTTTTTTTTTTTTTTTTTTTATAACAATTTAATTAAAATGCAGAATACAATGTATTGTAATAATAAATTCATATCTAAGAGTGCATGAATTAAACAGTTATTTCGGCGTAATCTTGAATTTAAGTTTTAGGTTTTTTTTTTTTTTTTTTCCGATTGAATCTGAGTTATTATGTAGCTATTCCAGACTCTTTGACACTGAGTCGACTCTAATATTTAAATATATGTTAGAAATGCTCAGAAATTTTATCCGTTTTGTGTAAAATTATCTTCCGGCGAAAGAAATATATATTCTGTAGAAAAAAAAAATTGATATCTATATTAATATTATTGAGTTTTTAAATTATTATTTTAAGAATTATATTTAAGTGGTTTTTAACTAGTTGTGAGTGCAATAATTTGTACGCTAATGATGCATAAGTATGAAACTCATTTTGCAAACGAGACGAGTGATGTTGATAATGATAGTGGAAGGAAGGAAGGTGTGGTGATTGGGTGTGATTCGGTGATTATTGAAATAGTTATATGACTAATTAGCCCCGCTGTAGTGGAATTGAGATGAAAATTCTGAGGGTGTAAGTGTGAAAATGACATGACAGGGGAAGTGAAGAAGATTCTGAGTGGTGAAACGGGTTTACAGGTGGATGAGCAGAGGCTGGTGTACAGAGGCAAAGAGCGTGAGAATGGAGAGTACTTGGACGTGTGCGGAGTGAAAGACAGATCAAAAGTTGTGCTAATCCAAGACCCTTCCAGCATTGAACGACGCTTCATCCAGATGCGTATCAACGCTAAGATCCAAACCGCACATCGCGCAATCAACAACGTCGCAGTCCAACTTGATCAGCTTGCAGACCAGGTATGCAATGCAACCTTTTCAAGGAACAAATCTCATATACACTCATTATATGAATTAGATAATTTAAACAATATTTACTAGTGATAATTATAATAGGAATTGTAATTAGAAGCTCCTAAATACCTAATGAATTTGAATTAGGAGCAATTCTTTGATGATTGGTCAAAGAGCGCATCTGTGCATGACAGTGTTTTACTTATTGTCATGACCAGTGATACTTTGTCTTTGTCACACAGCTGGAATGACGTGGGTCAGTGCCAGACAGTGTGTGTTCTGTATTTTAGTACTCCATATTGGGAAAAGCACAAACATACAAACCGCTTTAGTAACCTCTTAGCTTAGTGCAGTGGACCAAGTTTACTTATATTAGAATTTGTCGGGTATATCACATCAAATTATGTCATCATGGAGCGTCTCAGATTTCAATTTAATCCCAGTGATAATTGGGTAGGAGCCGTGGGGCTCTTGTAATTAACTAATTATGCATTTCTTTTCAGTCGAGCCAAACATGTCTAGTTAATATTTGTACAAGTGAATATATGCGTTTAGAAATTTTGCGTATACATCGTTTGCACGGAGTAAGTGTGTGTTTGGCAGTTGGCAAGCTGATTAAAGTTAATGATTTCGTGTAAATTTTGAAGCAAATTATCATTGATTTAATCTCAATGTTACTGTTTGCACACTAAGTCAATTAATATTACATAAAGATGATTTTTGGTTTCTAAATATTTTATAAATTGAAAATAATGTACTTTTATAGTTAATTGTCATTATTTACGCACCACTGCCTCATGACGGATAAAGAAACCCTACCCAAAGTCAAACTATCTAATTCTCAACATGATCGTAACATTTAAGAAGCTTCACTATTAAACCTCGGTATAAAGATTATATAATCATTGTATATAATAGACATTATTCAAATCGTTATATAATAAAAATACTATTTATGTAATTTCAATTTTGCAAATTACAATATATAACTAATTAGTACTAATATATTATTTTATATTATTTTTTGAAAATATATTTTGGAGAGTGCAAGCATCGGATGTATATACAGATTATATAAGTTATTTTTTTATATAAATTTGTTAGTTTGATTTAAATTATTTTATTTGCTATAAACACCGGATTTACTTACATTTTGTAATTAAATTATTATATTACATTAGACTTGAGCTCAGTTAAACAATTTGTTAGTTGTATTTTATATTTAAATATAAAATAACACTTTGTAGTTTGTTTAATTAAAATGCGAGTAAAAAAATTGTTAATGAATATCTAGATACCACAGGATAAGGAACATGAATATTAAAATTGCTACTGTTGTAAGTACAGGTTTGAGAACGAATATTACTTTAAATTAGAACACATAAAAATGGGTATTATAGACCCTACTTAAAACCTGCTCATTGCCATTACTAGACACGAATGAATCAAGTGGTTCAAAACATGATCAACATTTTAAACATCCAACCTTTGTCTGAATTAACTTGACCAATTAATGTTTACGTGATTGTTCTGAATAAGCGCTGGTTGATATTCTTCCGTATCATGCTTCATGCTTGGACTAAATGAAACCATAATAGGATGAATCCATTTCTGAAACTTAATGCTTGATATAAAATAAATAAGCAATTGAGTTTGGAGTGATCACTTATATAAGTATTATGCAACGTTACCCGAAATATTGTCCGTTCATAACATACGACCCATTTTCTTTTCAATAGGTCTCTGCCATTGAAAAGTCTATTTCCAACGGAGTCAAAGTACCAGAAGTTCAAATCACAACACTAATTGAGATGCTTATGAGACAAGCAATCAAATTGGAAAGCATTTCTGCAGAAGGCGATGCTTCTGCACAGAAAAATTTGCAGGTATTTTTCGAAAGAACTCCAGTTCGCTGTCAAGTAGTACTTATTTTGGGATTTGACTGGTTTCATTAATTTGGAAGGTAAATCTGTAGCTATTGATTGATAATGCTTCTAAATATTTTGGTATGGGTCAACATCATCTTTAAATAAATTTATTGTTTCTTTAATCCTATAATAAAATTGAAGAGGACTTAACGTGCATTAGAAATTAATGAAAGAAAATAAATAACCCAAAAATAAAGGAAAAATTCTTTGTTTATTTAGAGTAGCTTTATTATGCATGGAAAATATTGCTGGATATAAAGTCTACAGTCTTTTATCGACCATACAAAAGAAGTTGAATAGGAGCATAATGTAGATTTTGTCCTGATAGGGAATAATTGGTTATATGCGTAATCTGATGATTACTTTTTTCAGGGAAAGAGAGTGCAAAAATGTGTTGAAAAACTGGATCAACTTAAGGTAACTAATGCTAGTATAAAGCCTGTTGTTGTTACAACCAAGTGGGAGACATTTGATCATCCACCATCCTCAACCACGTGGGAATTATTCGATTGAGTTTAATCTTTTTTTACTCCAATGTCTTCTCTTTGTCTATACGTTCTTGCTTCTTGTTTCGGAACTCTGTTAATAAGTCTTGCTATCCCACTAGTAGCTAAGTTTTTCTCCAAAATACTTCTTCAAATGGCAATTGAAATAGAAATCGGAAATGTTAATAATATATCCATATTTATTATTTGATGGTGAATTTATTAGTCGTTTCTTTCACGTTTGAATTTATGATCTTGTACAATTTATCATTGATTATTTTTAACTGTTTACATTTATTAATAAGGTGCCTTTTGAACATTATTTAATGCGTGGGGGGGCTTTCCATTGTGGTACAGTGCGCTGGTACCTTGCGTTTTCAAGTTCAAATCACGTGTTATAACTTATCACCCTTTACCATTAATTCTAATCACTTTTTAGGTTATGCTTGAAAGCGAGTAGGTTTTAGGGGAGAGTTGAGGAAATGACAATTTTTTTTCATATGTATGAATTACAATCGTGTCACCAAATTTAGAATACAGGACTACGAGTCTACTCCAAGTTTCTTTTACTACAATGATTCTAGTGGTTCAAAAATGTAAAAAATAATAAATCACTTTTGATAAATATATTTTAATTTTAAAATTAAAATAAATTGATATATTAGCATGAAGTTAATGTATTATTCTTCATTTATTTTTATAAGTATTATTTCTGATCCTAATCATAAGAAACAAATTAATTTTTTCCTTGATCCTAATTATAAATAACAATCAACAATATTTTGAATTACTTGTAAATAAATTTCTTTTATATTTTAAATTTATTGTTAATTCTATTTTTTTATGCATTCATTTATTCTATATTAATCGAATTGTAAGTACCGGTATTAAAGGTATAAAAAAGTACTGAAATTAAATATTACAAATTAACAATCTCTTAAAACATGTAATATGTTTACAAAAAAATCGAATTTATGGTAGAATAATTAAAAATAATTAATTTACTTATTTTGCTTGTTTGTGATAATTTATTATGTTGTTTATAATTAAAATCAAATATAGTATTAAATAACACAATTTAAAATCAAAGTATTGTTCTCCTCTCTTCTTTATAACCTAATTTCCAGTCGTCTCTTTAGGGCGTTAAGGAATTTATAATTTTTTTTATTGAATAATATGTTAGTATATAATAATAATAATTATTTTCAATAATTCTTTTGTTGTGTTTTAATTACGCTGGCTAACACTTACCTTAATTAAAATATAATAATATTTATTTATTGTTGAATATTTAATGTCTACAAGTGTATTGTGTCACTGTGTCTTATAAAACGAGGAAGGTCAATTATACCTTTTTTTTTAAATACTAATATTCTTTCTTGATAATTCTTTTTATTTTGTTTTTCTTTAGGTTTTTTTTATGTGGTTTAAGTAAAACTCTCTCCGCTTTTATTTTACTTATTGGTTTTTTTAAGTAGATTTTTATTTTATTTATTTTATCAGTTTCACACCGAATTTACACTTATAAAGATAAAATAATACTTTTAATCATAATTTTTATACCTAAATCAGAGATTGAATTCTAATTTTAATTAAAGAACTCTATAAAATAATACTTTTAATCAGAATTTTTATACCTAAATCAGAGATTGAATTCTAATTTTAATTAAAGAACTCAAATGTTAAGCTAGTAATATTTGATATTTAGTTATATATTTTCTATGAATGTAATTGGTTTTTATATAAATTTGAAAAACATATATTGCAATAAGATTCAATCCCATAACATTATCGGTTAAATATTTCGAGTCTCATGTGTCAATTGACATATACCATTTTCGTTTTAAAAAAAAATAAAAATACATGATTCATCTTTGAAATTGCTTTTAGTTCTTTAGAAGTTATGTTAAAATTCTTGAAGAAAAAAAACAATTTCAACCAAACAAAAATTAAATACAACACATACAAACATAACAACTACCCGTAAAATAATAGAATACACTAATGACAAAGGACATTCTAAGTTATTTAAAATAGATATTTTACATTTATCGCACAATTTATACAAATGTCGCTGACATTGAATAAAGTTATCAGGTGTTGGTGATGATGATGGATGAACATAAGAATAACATAATGAATCCAAGTCTTGATAAACATAAATGTTAGTTTGGCATTGGCATTGGCGAGGCAAATGAAATACTCAAACCTTTGTTCATTGGTAGAGAGAGAGTCATCCCCACTACCCTACCTTGTCACCAAATGCATTGCTCTATTGCAATCTTGTGGCTCTTCCCAATACAAACTAAGGCAAATCCATGCATTTTCCCTAAGGCACGGTGTCCCACTCAACAACCCTGACATGGGTAAATACCTCATCTTCACAGTTGTATCCCTCTCTGCACCCATGTCCTATGCTTACAACGTCTTCACCGCGTTGCACAACCCCAACATCTTCACGTGGAACACCATCATCAGAGGCTACGCTCAAAGCCAAAGCCCCAACCTTGCAATTCATTTCTATCGCCAAATGATACTCTCTCGTGTTCAACCCGACACTCACACCTACCCTTTTCTTTTAAAGGCTGTTTCCAAGTCCCTGAACGTTAGAGAGGGGGAGGCAATACATTCCGTTACCATCAGAAACGGGTTTCACTCGTTGCTTTTTGTTCAGAACAGCTTGCTTCATGTATATGCTGCTTGTGGCGACACGGAGAGCGCATACAAGGTGTTTGAGTTAATGGAGGACAGAGATCTCGTGGCTTGGAACACTCTGATTAATGGGTTTGCTCTTAATGGAAGGCCCAATGAAGCTTTGACTCTCTTTAGAGAGATGGGTGTGGAGCCTGATGGGTTCACCGTGGTTAGCTTGTTGTCTGCTTGTGCTGAGCTTGGTGCTCTAGAGTTAGGACGGAGGGTGCATGTGTACTTGTTGAAGCTTGGGTTGAGAGAGAATTCTCATGTTACTAATTCATTGTTAGATCTTTATGCAAAGTGTGGAGCCATCAGGGAGGCTCAGCAGGTGTTCGGTGAGATGAGTGAAAGGAACGCGGTTTCTTGGACGTCGTTGATCGTTGGTTTGGCTGTTAATGGGTTTGGAGAGGAAGCGCTTGAGCTTTTCAAGGAGATGGAGGGACAAGGACTGGTGCCCAGTGAGATCACTTTTGTTGGGGTTTTGTATGCTTGTAGCCACTGTGGGATGTTGGATGAAGGGTTTGGTTACTTTAGAAGAATGAAAGAGGAATATGGTATCATGCCTAGGATAGAACACTATGGTTGCATGGTGGATCTATTGAGTAGGGCTGGTTTAGTGAAACAAGCGTATGAGTATATTCAGAATATGCCAGTGCAGCCAAATGCTGTTATTTGGAGGACCTTGTTAGGGGCATGTACAATACATGGACATTTGGGTTTGGGAGAGATAGCAAGATCCCACCTATTGAAGTTAGAGCCTAAACATAGTGGGGATTATGTGCTTCTTTCAAATCTTTATGCCTCTGAACGTCGTTGGTCAGATGTACAAGTAGTAAGGAGGTCAATGCTGAAGGATGGTGTTAAGAAAACCCCTGGCTATAGTCTAGTTGAGTTGGGCAACCGTGTTTATGAATTTACTATGGGCGATAGGTCTCATCCGCAAAGTCAGGATGTGTATGCACTACTGGAGAAGATCTCAGAATTGTTGAAGCTAGAAGGTTATGTGCCTCATACTGCAAATGTGCTTGCAGACATAGAGGAAGAGGAGAAGGAACAAGCTTTGTCTTATCATAGTGAGAAAGTTGCAGTTGCTTTTATGCTTTTAAATACAGCACCAGGGACCCCAATCAGGGTTATGAAGAATTTAAGAGTTTGTGCAGACTGTCATATGGCCATCAAACTCATATCAAAGATTTATGATAGAGAGATTGTTATCCGGGACCGTAGTCGGTTTCACCATTTTAGAGGTGGTTCATGTTCCTGTAAAGATTACTGGTAACATGGCAATCATCAGGATTTGATAATGGCATCTGGATAGTAAAGTTCTGCATTGATTTTGAATTACAATGTGGTTCTTTGAAATAGAGGCCGTGAGACATAACTATATATGTTGCAATCATTCTCAATAATGCTTTCTGCTGCAAGTGTCAACCAATTCAAGCATCTGACACATGGATAAGTTAGTGAACATGCCTAAGATTATGGAAGTTTGTTTCAAATTCCATATAGAATGTCCCGTTTTGACCAAATACCCTGACATTTGTGCCAAAGTATAAATAACGATATATTTTTTCTGTTGGCCGTGCTAAAACTTGTCTAGTTTGGCATATTTGTACATCAGTAATATTACATGTATAATAAAAATTGTATAACATTACTTTTTTTTTTTTTTTTTTTCTATCTCTTTATAATAAATAAAGTGATGAAGTGAAATAGATATAAAGTGGCGGAGAAAAATAGATATAAAAATAATGTTATATAAGTTATTATATAATTTTTATTATATATGTAATATTCCTCTTTTGTACATCATATACCCTCAAGCTTTTGTGCTTTATTCGGCTGGGTTTTCTATTATTGTTTCACTGCTCGGTGAGCCATGATAATTGCAAGATAGAGCAGCCTTAAATTGAATATTTGTTCAGGGAAAAATGTAAATACACCGATTCAACTTTAGCACCTTTGCCAGTGAATGTGAAAATTGTAATGAAGTGTTGCAAACAGCACTAATGATGAATATTTTGTTAAAGTAAGCAAGCAATTACCAAAAAATCAGCTTGTTTGCAACTGCACTTCAGTCACTGAAGAAAACTGTTTTCTGCAAAGATAGCATTAATATTAAGATATAAAAAGATTTACTATTTTTCTTTTAATAAATACATAAAATATATTTTCTTTTACATTACTTTAATGCTTTTTGACTTTTGTCCTTTAAAATACAAAAATATGATAGGGTAATCAATAAGTTCTTATAACAACAATAAACAATCATCAAACCTTTTTACTATATAAGAAAAAAAATTCTTGTAAATTTAAATTAAAAACATAGCACGTACAGGGATAAAAATTTTCATATTAAAAAATATAGTAAATATGAATTAAATTAAAATAAAAATATATATAATTTTTTATATTATATTTCAATAAGAGATTGTTATATATAATAAAATAATAAAATTATAGACTTTAAATAATTTCAAAATTTAGTGTGAAAATCTGAAAATCATTATACCGTCAATATGAAAATTAATCGCATAACGTATTTATGACTTATGAGTTGATTTTTTATTCTTTCTGAAAATAAAATACTTGCAAAAGTAAGTAATTAAACTAGAAACTAGTAAAATAAAAAGAATTAGAATTGGCGCGTGAGAAGCGCGCGGCTTTTAAATTCAAAATAAAAGTTAAAAGGTGTGTTGTGTTTGTGTTGTTGTTGGTGGTGAGATATCGCAATGGGGGATTTGGAGCGAATGGGAAGAGAACTGAAATGTCCGATCTGGTACCAACTTGTATTCCATCAATCGTTTCTTTCCTCTCTCTGTTTCCGTTTTTATTCACTTGGCTTTGTTCACACAGTTGGAGTTTGCTCGATTCCGCGGTTTCGCTTACCTGCAACCATCTTTTCTGCAAGTAAGCGCACTCTCCACGTGCTTTACGATTCACGATTCCTCTTTCCATATCATCGCTAATTAAACCTAATTTTATTTCTCATTCAGCTCCTGTATATTCAAGTCCATGAAATCAGCCTCTGCGTGTCCCGTCTGTAAAATTCCTTTCACGCGCCGAGGTACGTTCCGTCTTCTTTCTTTCTTATATAACCCTAATTTTGCATTCACATCGCCGATTTCTTTTATTTTCTTTTAATTTTAAATTACATATTAAAATGGATTTCGTGTTAATTGTTGAACTCAATTTTTTCTGTCTGCGACACATTTTTCTTAATAATGCAATTCATTCGGTGGAAACTGGAAAGCGTTGATAGGGTCCATTTAGTAATTTTGGCTAAAGAACACGTTATATGTTTTTGGTAGAGGTTCGTCCTGCGCCTCACATGGACAACTTGGTCAGCATATATAAAAACATGGAAGCTGCTTCGGGAATTAATATATTTGTCACCCAGAATGCACCTGTTACTAAATTATCAGGTGTGGGATTGTGCCTTTTATCTTCATATATATGTTGCTATGCCACATACTGCTTTTTGATTAATTATATTTGTGTGTCTAGCGTTGTGAGTTTATGCATTGCTTAGATTTGAGGGACCTGCCTTTGTGAATGGACTGCACCTTTTTTTTTTTTAGTTATGGTTAAAATTATATTGCAGATGAAGAAAAGCAATGTGAAGGTGGTGCTGACAACTCTGACAACGTGGAAGCTGGTGAGACTCATAAAAGTCATGCACGGGGGAAGAAAACCGTTAAGAGAAAGAAGTCGAAGACAGTTCAGACCAGCACGGAAGGTTCAGGCTCTGGTTATGACTTTGCAAAACCTTCTTTTCCTGCAAAGAAAAGGGTGCAGGTGCCGCAAAATATTCTTTCAGAAACTCCGTTAAAGAATGTGAAGGTTGGAGACTCTGTTGGTGACATTAACAAAGAGGGAACTGAAAAGGTGTCAGTTATGGAAGATGAAAGGCCTCTCCAAAGTGAAAAATGTGATCCTGTTCTTTCACCATTCTTTTGGTTGAGAGAGGAAAAAGATGGTGAAAAGTTGAGTCAACCAACTGATGAGGATCAAGTTATTGACGGCTTAACACCAAACCCTCCCTCATTCAGTGATCTCAAGGACTCTGATGATGAAAATCCCCCGTCGGTAAGTACTGGATTAACTGACAAGTAGATTATAAAAAATAATGGAATTGCTGATTTGTGTTTTGGTAGTTGTGCATTTTATATGTCTGAAGGGAAATCAGTTGACATTTAGCTTTCCTATATTTTAACATGTTTTTATATAACTTGTTTTTGCTTGAATGACTACTTGATTATTGGGAAAAGCAAGCCTCATTGATTTGCTTATTTTTTAAGTTATACTCTGGCTAGTTAGACATTAAAACAGGTTGCATTGCTCAAGCTGACTAATACAGGTGATATTAATATTAAATTACATTGCTAACACTGTTTCTTGCCATTGTCGTGTAGAAGATTGGTGACAATGGGCATGGGTTAGGGAGAAGTCTTTGACTTGATCATGCTAGACATTGTTTGAATGGGCCAAGAGTGAGGTGAAAGAATTGTCTTTGCCTAGATTGGTGTCAGGCACTAAAGGGGTGGCATCCAACATGAGGAGAGAGAATTGTCTCGAGTTGGCATGAAGTCAAGCGTGAGATTTTTCCATGCTAGGCATGAGGATTCAGGGATTCTCTACCTTAGCCATGCGGAGCACATGTTGAGTGACGTCGGGTGTGGGTAGGGTAGAGAACTCCTTGCCTCAATGACATCAGGCATGAGGTAAGTTGTGCCGGGTGCGAGTTGTGTTATGACGTGTAGGATGAGGTGCTAAATAAAAGTGCTGTTAATTTATTTGATAGTGATATGTTTGAATGGACACAGAGGCCTTGCTCTCCTGAATTGTTTTCAAGTCCCTCCAAAATGCAGGTAGTGAGAATCGAAGCGACTGGATATTAACACATAATTTGGAATTGTATGTATTACCTACTTATTAAAGTTTTAATAAGTTGTATGTTAGCAGGTCAAAGATACTTATGAGGATGATGAAAATCAAGAGGAATTGGTGGCTGCCACAATGGAGCTGGATGCAAATCAGGCAAGTGCTGATTCTGACAACATAAAACTTGAGAATCTCAAAGAAGGAAACAGATTGGTTGATGCATTACCACCGAGTATGTCTCCTCCTCACATTAGAAGTATGGATGATCTAAATGGAAAGAAAAGGTCTACAAAAAGAGGCAGAAAGGCTAGGGAAAAAATTAGGCAAGATCAGATTGGGGAACCAAAGAATTCAATTGACAGAATGCATGTTGATTCAAATATATCAATAGAAGTCTCTCATGAACAAGCATTGAACTCTAATCACAAATCTTCTTATTTGGGGAAGGTTACTAGAATGGCCAAGAGGGTTTGTTTCAGTACCAGTTCCATTCCAACACCTATAACTGCTTGTACGGTTCCCAGCACATTAGGAGGTTTAGGCAATAGTGACATGAAGATCGCTAAGAATTCAAATACTTCACTATGTAAACAAGAAAATGAGAAGCAATGTCCTCAGGAGATTGCTCTAAAAGGCCATATGAAGAGGTCTGGAAAACAAAATATTGACCAAACCAATGAGTTTGCTGGTTCTGCTTCATCCATTTTTAGTCTGCAGACAGATCATAATGGGAAGACCTCATCTAATAGAAAGCAAAGCAAAAAGAAGTTTTCCAGAAAATCTATGTCCTGCAGTAAAGAATTCAGAACTACTAAAAAGCCAAAACTTTCCTCTGATTGTATCTCCAAGACTAAAAACGGTGTAGAAATTCTACCTAATGAAAGTATTCATCAAGGTCCGGAAGTTAGGAATTTGAATAATACATCAAAAGAAAAGCATTGTTCTTTGATGGATGAAACATTTTTAAAGAAATGTGGGAGTCATGTAAAAAAGTATCAATGTGTTTTCTGTCACTCATCAGAAGAATCAGAGGTAATCTTGCTTATTTTCTTGTGTTGTAATCACTATAATCGGTCTGGAACTTACAGTATGTAAACTAAAATACAGGTTTCTGGCCCTTTGGTGCATTACCTTGATGGCAAGCCTGTAACTGCAGATTATGAAGAGGGGTCTAAAGTAACTCATTGTCACAGGAACTGCACAGAATGGTAAAGATTTGTTGCATGGTTGATAATATATAGCTTTATTTTGCCAACATGGATTTTAGTTAGGTTGGTTTTGATTTGGTAATTGGCACTAGTTTGAATTCAAGATTGTAAATAATGTGTTTTAAATATGCATCAGGGCCCCCGATGTATACTTTGATGGTGATGATGCAATAAATCTTGAAGCTGAAATTTGTAGAAGTCGAAGAATTAAATGTAGTTTCTGTGGACTTAAAGGGGCTGCACTTGGTTGTTTTGAGAAAAGTTGTCGCCGGAGCTTTCATGTTCCTTGTGCCAAATGGACTTCTCAATGTCGATGGGATACGGTATGTGATAAAAATCGAACCCCATTTGAAATTTAATGCTATTTTCTGATAAAAATCTTTAATTAGATTCTGCTAATTTACTGTTTCAGCAAAATTTCGTCATGTTATGCCCTCTGCATTCTTCCTCCATGTTGCCCTGTGAAGGTTCTGGATCCCAAAAAAGGAGCAAGAAATGCACAGCTAGAGAGGGAAAAAACCATGGTCCTGAACATGACACTACAAGCCAAAGTCGGACTGCTCATAGATCATACAAGAAAATTGTACTATGTTGTTCTGCTCTATCCGTACAGGAGAGGGTAAAATAATTCCATTTAGTTTCTAAATATCTTATTATCATATTTCTCATTAAAGAACTCTGATTTATTGCTTTCCTTTTATGGTTGAAATTGTAGAAAGTTGTTTCTGAATTTGAAAGAGTATCCAAGGTTACAGTCTTAAAAGATTGGGACTCAAGTGTTACCCATGTTATAGCTTCCACGGATGAAAATGGGGCATGCAAAAGGACCCTCAAGGTATTGTTGGGTATCTTGGAGGGAAAGTGGATTCTCAATATTGAATGTAAGTTCAATCCTTTTTATTTTCTAATACCAAGTCCTTACATAAGATTAAATTAAATGTCAGAATTTCTTCCCTTTTCTTGTCTGGTAATTATTTTACTTCTGGGGTTGGTTGGTTTTTTTCTAAGCAGGGATCAAAGCTTGCTTGAAGGAAAAGGATCCCGTTGATGAAGAGTGGTATGAAATTAATGCTGACATCCATGGAATTAGGGATGGTCCTCGTCTTGGACGACTAAGAGTATTGAACAAGGTTGGATTTTTCATTATTGTCGCGTAGTCGTTGTTGTTATTATTATTATTATTATTGTTGTTGTTGTTGATGACGACAAAACAAAACATAACGGTAATGTCCTTCTGGCTGCCATTGTGCTGCGAAGATTTTTTTTTTTTCTGTAACTGCTCCAGCTAAGTACAGGTAAGAGAAATCATTCACACAAAAAGTATAAGAAGCATACACCTAAATATCTGCAAAGCATAATATAAGGAGTTAAGATCCTCTCCATTTCTCTTTTCCTCCATTTCTTCCGTGCATATCTATCCGTTTATGTTTTTAAATAGCAACGGTTACTTTAGGGACAAGAATTTAGATGCTAGCAGCTGTTATAGTATACTATGCCTCTGTTTGGCAGTAGAGAAAATGAGCGGCGAGAATTGGAGGAACGAAAGCGTGTCAATTTTCATTCTTCCATTTTCTACCTTTCCAGTTTGTCCTTAAATTCCTTATACACTTACGTTTGTCTTAGAATTGCCAATATCATTTAATGACAATTAGTTATGCATTGGATGATTTATAGCATGATTGGATTGCCGTTAGGTGTTGAAGGATGTTCTTTGTATCTTTTTATTTCTGAATGTACTTCTAAAACTTTACAATGGTTACAGAAACAGGTTATTAGTGCATTTCAGTTGAGTTAAGCTGGAGTAATTGCTGTCTATTTCACTAAATGCTTGATTGTAAGCTAATGGATTTGTGACTACAATTTCTTATGCAGCATCCAAAGCTTTTTGATGGCTACAAGTTTTACTTTATGGGAGATTTTATACCTTCATACAAGGGGTATCTGCAAGAACTTGTGGTTGCTGCTGGAGGGATAATTTTGCACAGAAAACCAGTGTCTGGTGACCAAGAGTCAATGTTACCAGATATGCATCCATACCAAACCGTCATAATTTACAGCCTCGAGATTCCTGATAAATGTAAGCCTTCGAAAGAGGATACAATTTGCAGCCAAAGGCGCCACGTTGCAGAGGTTCTAGCAAGTTCTACAGGTTCAAAGGTAGCAAGTAATACATGGATTCTGAATTCAATTGCAGCCTGCAAACTGCAATGCCTTGGTCAATGAAATGTGATTATTGAGGTCATTAATGAGTATGATCTCAAACTGAGTTTCCTCTGCATCTTTACTTATCATGGTAAAATAATATTGGCAATATTATGCAACAAAATTTTTTGTAGTCATAATATATACTTTGAATCATGTTTCATGTATTTCCCCTCTAGTGTGAGAATTGTGTTTGAACTTTCAAACCATCATTTATCAATGATAAAATCTCGATCTATTTTTTTAACGGCAAAACGCAAATGATAAAATCCCAATCTCTTTGCAACTATGCCTTTTTTACAGACAATGTCATGCGAATAGTCTGTAACATCCAAGAATTGGTGCCATGGGTAATGGTTTAGTATCACTTTTTATTGTGACCTGTGAGGTGAAAGGTGAATGTGGAACTATTTTCTCAATATAATTAAAATGAGTAGGTTAGTAACTTTCTTGAGCAACTTTATCTTATAATTAGATTCATTTTCATCAATTTATAGTCCCGTCTTTCAACTCGTGATGTAACTATAATTTCCTTTCTTATTAGACAGTTTTCTTTAGTGTGAACTGTGAAGTCTTAATTGAGAGCTTCGTCATTCCCTATTTCCGTACCTTGCTATTTCCAAATAAGGATTGACTAAAGTTTCGTCAAGTAGCATGTGTTATGTGTTATGGTTAGAAAGATGCAAATCCAATATATATTTCCAAACGTTAACCATTAACAGATCTATAAAGTGAGCGATTGAGCATGGAGCATGGCCCAATTGGTTATGTTTGAAGTCGAAAATAAGCATTCACAAGTATAGTTCCAGGAAAAACTATTATGTAAATACACGAGTATAACATCTATCAAACTGATATATATGGTGATATACTTCCCTTGATTTTTCCGTGCAAGCCTACGTAATTGTTTATTACTAGACTAGACAGAGATCACATTCTTATGTTGTTTTCTGATGTGAATAATGTATTGAACTGAAGGAAAATTGAATTTAGGACAAGCTTATAAGGAATCTAGTTTATACAACTCTTTGGTCAGTGTACATCTGAACCAAAGTTCAAAAACATGTGCAATGTCACCATTATCTTCTTCGACCCTTTCTACTCACTCTCGTATTACACATATTTTACAGTCAACTGATTTGGTTAATGGCTCCCTTTCTGCTAATGGTCTAAGAGCATGCTTTCTAGATATGAGAATAGACGAGGTTGGCATGAAATGAAGAAGAGCATGCTGTAAATGGATGATGTGTTGATACAATGCCCATTCTCTTCTTTGCCTCTACCAATCACAGATTGCTGAGCGTTGGGCATATCACATCAAGTTCTCTTCTGTGTATGTTTAGAGATTTTCATCATAAGAGAATGAAGCATATGCTCCAAAGCTGAGATTCCCTCTTTGATGTCGTTTCCTAGTTTACTTGACCTTTTTCCTTCCTTGAAGCTACTTATCCTGTGAATGCCAGCTTGAAGTTCCTCCTCCATTTGCTCCATGGTGTCACGAATTTGCCTGTTTTCCTCTAGAACGTCTCTGAGTTTTCTCTTCATAGACCGATAACCATCAAGTGACTTCTGGAGTTGCTCCGAAAGCGCCTTGTTACGCTCTCGTAGAACTATGTTACATTCCATCTCCACTCCATTAGTATTACTCTTCTTCTCCTTCTGTTCGGAGCTGCACTCATGCAACTTCTCCATCAACATGTCATTCTGTGCCTTTAGATCACCAATGAAATCCTCCATTTCTGTCAACTCCTGAGCCTTTCTTGCAAGCTCAGCAGCCATAATTTGCTTCTCTTTTCCCAAACTTGAACACAATGCTTGAAGGCTCTGCCGTGCCACCAAGCTTGCATTAAGCTCTCTCTTTAGCCTCTCTTTCTCATCCATAGGCGCATCAGGAGGCCTTTTGTCCTTGGGAGTTGGAAGGTTTGGCCTAAGATCAGTGTTACACCGCCTAAGTTCAGCTTTTCTCATGGTAGAAGATTGAATCTTTTGAACCCTCGATCTAGCCTCATCTAGGATTAACATCATTCCATTCACCCTATGATACTTGCGCTCATCATTTTCTTTTGGGCTAGACCCATTATGATCTTGAATTAGCTTCAGTAATAGCTTCACATTCGTGGCAAGTCCTATACCAAAAATATGAAATATTGCATAAGGGTCACCACCATATGATATGCCTAACTTAATGTTGTGGAATGATTAATCAATTGAACGTTCTGTCATTCTAAGATGATGGAACATGTCAACAATCCTTTATGATATCACAAAAATTGGAAGGATCTGAAGTGTGTATAACATGAAATTTACCTTCCAAACCGCATTCTTCTTCTGGCTGTCCGTTGAAATTACTTGTTGAAGAAGAAAGAAAATGCGGAGATGAATATGCTCGGATGCGATCCATGCTATAGCCAGCAACAGGGAAATAACAAATATGGTAAAAGATGTGCTAAACAGCACTGTGTAATGGAAGAATGGAGGGTAAGAGATGAATAAATGTTTTTTTTTTGTTTTTCAATGTAATATGTGGTGAGAGATCCAAGAAAGAGAGATTACTTTTCCAGACTATCTTCTCCTTCTCCTCTTTCTGATCTCTTTGGAAAAAGTTTGTGATTTTCTTTCTTCGTTTCTAATATAGTATATTATGATGTTAGATCAAATGGGAGATGGGCTGGTTCATGGTTGATGCGCAATTATTGCTTAGAGTTTGACTTTTTCATTGGTTTTGTCTTTCTCTCAGGCCGCAAACACAAATCCGAGTAAATTCACTTCCTAAGATAGATTTTCAGTGAAATATTATGTAATCATGCAAAACGATAATTTCTCCTACTTTGTCTGCATAATTCATGTAAATTAATTTAACAATACAGTAATACTAACATAACACATCAATATTGTTAACATATACTAATATTTATTTAGCGGTCAACGGTATTTTATGCTTAACCGCTCAACCGGTTGATAAAATGCTATTCAGAATTTGGGTATGCTCGGTAAATTTAAGTCGGAAAATTAAAAGTTTAAAGTTTATAAACTCATTTATTCTATAATTGGAAATTACACTAACAACGATCAAACTAAAACACAATCTTGTATATATATTATTCTAACTTCCTGTCGATCGGAGTGGTTCAAAATTTATAAACTAATTGATTAAATTGAAACTATTTTGTAAGATTAAAGGATAAATGCAAAACAATGTAAAAGGTTATATTTATTTATTTATCTAACTAGATTATCTTATTATAAGTGATGAAAGGTTAAATACCTTTTTATTATAAATAAAAATAATTAATAGTTGAAATTAAAATTTAATTATAAATATATTTTTTAGATTATTACTATTATCATTTTCATGATTTTCAGTATTATCATTACATATTGCTATTGATGCCATCAGTGGCGGACCTTTTCTATGACAGGGGGGAGCCACAGCTCCCCCAAACTTTTCCAAATTTTCATATATATATATATATATATATA